ACAGGGGTACGCTAGGCTGCTCGCGGCGAGCCGGGACGGCATGCCGCGGCTCAGCTTCAGGTGAGTTCATCTTGCCGGCGGTACCCGACGCTGCTCGAACGGCAGTTGTCGACCGCCGGCAGTTGACCGGCAAGATGAAGTCACCTGCGCTCGAAAAAAATACCATCGGAACCGCCTCACCGAGGCGCACAAAAGTCCTCACCCTGGCAAAGGCCAGCTCTGTCATCCTGGGTCGCTGCGAAAATGCTGTCACCACCCCGAATCACATCCGCAGTTTCGCCATCAAAAAAGTGCCGGGAGCGCAAAGTGCGCCGGCGGCGCAAAGTGCGCCGTTTGCCGGCGCAGATCTGCGCCGATGCCGGCGCAGAAAACGGCTTGCTTTTGCCCGCACCACATACGCGTTTTGCATGGTTTTACGCGCCCCACCGCCGGCCCAGACCGCCGCCCGGCCCGCCCGTCCGCCCGCCGCCTACGGTGCCCACCCCGCGCCCCCGGAGCCCGAAAACGGGGCGCCGCGAGCTCGCAACGCCGAGTTTTCCTCGAAATCACACCACATACTGGTTGCCCCTTCCTACCTACCTTCTTTTCGCGAGCGCGCCGGTTTTTTTGCAATGTTCGCTCGCGCTGCTTGCGGCTGAAATTACCAGCCGGGGCGCGAGGCACGCGCGCCTCGAGCGGCGGGGCCAATGTTTCGATGAGTGTCGCAAAAGAATTCAATCTGAATTTCCGCCCATGGCTCGCTCAACGCGCGCCTCGATGGAGACGGAGCACGGCGGGAGGAGAACGCTGCCACCGGGGGCGGAGGAGCTTCGCAAGTACGTTGCCGTGGCCGAGACGGAGGCGGAGGCAACTAGGACGACCGCGTCAGAACGCGGTGCGCATATGCGGCGGCAGGCGCGAGCGGCGCAAAACCCCACACAGTTCTCACCCCGTTCTCCGGCGCCGCCGTAGAGAAAATGTCCTTGATCATGGCCGAGCTGCGTGAGGAGGTCAAGCACATCGAGCAGACCAACTGGATGTACGCGGGTGGAGGGACGTTCGGATCAATACGCAAGATCTGACTGCCGATGCGGTGTGCACTGACTGGCGTTGCAGCGCACGCAAATTCGCCTCCCCGGGGGTGGCAGCGCGGCGGAGAGATACCGGCCGCCCTACCCACCCCGCTGGTGGACAACCCGAGGCGCCCGCGGTCTTGCGTGCCCCTCTGGGCGCAACCGCGAACCGGTTGCGGCTCACCGAAGCGCCGAGCGCTCCCAAACACCAACGCTGCCACCGTGAGAGTTGGGAGAGAGGTTGTTTAGCCGGCGAGGCGTCTATGTTGCTCCTCTCACCGCACCGCAGGCTGCGCGGGGTACGCCAACGAAGGGCCCTCAGGGGGTCAGTTATTATACGGGGTGTGGAGGGTGAGTTGAACAGGGGGTTGTGCGCCGGGCCCTCCTGCTCCGCCGCAGGCGCCTGTTGATAGGTCCATGTGATAGCCCTGGATGGGCAATGCATACGCCTCACTGGACCTCAGATCGCCCGACCGCGTCCCGGTGCTCTGCCGTCGGATTTGTGACGCCGCCGCACCGCGCCGCGCGGCCGGGGGCCCTCCGGAGGCCGAGGATGGCCGTGGCGGACCGGGACGAGCTCTGGGAGGGGGGGTGTCAGTGAGTATGTTGTAGAGACTAGCCATGTGCACAATAACTCTCAGTCTAGCTAAGCGAGGGGAGGCGATTCCGGGGCCGTAAAGCAGCTTGACGTGCTTCGCCGGCGTGCGTCCCGGAGCGGTGCCGGAGCGCGGCGAAATCGGGGGACACCGTCACCGACGAGCGCGTTGGACTTTTCACTCCGGACAAAGACGGGCACACAGCGGACGGTGCGGGGCGTGTGCCCGTCATAGCGGCGAGGCGCGGGACCGTCTGTGGCGAAGTGGGTCGCGTCCCCCGATTCCTTCGCGTTCAACCCAGCATCCACACCCTTTATAGATAAAATACCAATTACCATGTAGAGCCGTACGGCTAACGCCGCTCACGGATCTGCCTGCGGGCCGACCTTCACAGCTCACAGCTCACATCCCATACTCCATACAGACATACACACAGAGCCGGGGTCTCCGCACGGCCAAACAAGAAACATATCGCTCGGGGTTCAGAGACCGAGACGGCGTTAAGCTAGGGCGCAAGGCTGATCCAGCGAGGCATGCAACGCTTTCTGTTCCGAAAGAAGCTGTGCCATCCTCTCGCGGCCAGATCGGATGCGGGCGTCGAACTGCTCACAGAACTCGGCGCGAGCCTCGTCCTCAGCGAGCGCCTGCTTAGCGTCCTCAGTGGACCAGTCGATGGGGGCGCGTGCCATGGCGTTGATACCGCCGCTGGAGAGGATCGCCGCAAGCGCGCCCTCACGTTCCAGAGCGCACGCCAGCGAGCTTTGCACCTCCCGCTGCGCCTCGGCCAGCTCGGTCTTTTCGGCGATGAGGGCCTCGTTCTGGCGCTGAAGGTCCGTCAGCTGCGCCTTCAGCGTTGCGTGGGCCGCCTCCCGCGCCACTCGGCTGGGGGCAGCGCGGCTGGCCGAGGCCTTAACGGGGGCTGGCCGCGGCGGTCCGAACTGAGACATCGTCTCGTCCGTGTCGGTGCGCTTGAAGAGCCGGCTGAGAAAAAGAATTTTAAGGTCTGCCTCGCACGACACCGGGTACGGGACTGGCACTGCAAAGGCGAATTTTACAAGTAAACTCCCTCGCACAACACTGGGCACGGGACTGGCACGCACTGGCACTAACACAGGTACACCACTGGAGCCGCCTAAGCGACTCCCGCGAGGACGTCAAGAAAAAGAAATTGAGGGTAAAAGAATTAAAAGGTACGCCACGGGAGCCGCCTAAGCGACTCCTGCGAGGACGGCGAGGTTAGCTACGTCTCGACCGCCCGCTCGCTCGCCGCAGGCACAAGCTCTGGTCTCTCTCTCTCTCAAGCTCTTGTCAATGAGAGAGAGGTCTCCCCTCGTTTAGTTCACAATCTGCTCTGCGGCCCTGGATGTGTTTTGGATGTGCGGTTATTACTGACTGCACTCCAAGTGCTCCAAGTGCTGCGATGTGGCAGGTGCGGATGAAAGATTTCATGTATCAAACGCATAAAAGAAGAAAAACACACGGACTGGCAAGACTGGCGCATAAAAGAATTTTCCCCCGAGACGGGGCGTCCGCGCTCCAGTGTTGTGTGATAAAAAGAAAAAAACGCGTTTTGGGCCGTACCCGCCACCCCCCTGCCGCCGCCTCCACCCCCGCCGCCGACGGGGCCGCCACCGTATGGACCCGCCCGGAATAATCTGGGGGATCCGGAACCGCCCCGCCGGAGGCTGGAGTACCCGGGAGGAGGAGCTGGGGGAGGGGAGTCGCCGCAATACGATAACGGGCCCGCCGGCGAGCCGGAAGGCCGACACCGGAGGGCCCCAGGGGGGGCTTGGGGTCAGTTGTCGGAGGAGGCGAGAGATGAGCTGACGCGGCCTCTGCGAGTGGAGTCGGGAAGCACGAGCTCACCGGGGGAAGGCCCGTCGCAGTGGCAGCCGGACCACCGGGATCTGCGACAAGGAGGGCCACGCCTCCCCGAGCTTGAGGAGGAGCCGGCGGAGGGGAAGGGCGAGCCGAGAACGATAGAGAGCAGGCCGCGGAGATGCGGGCGCGGCTCGTCGACCAGGGAGAGCGGGCTCGACCTCCCAGGGGTGGAAGTTGCAGGCGGCTCTCCCCTCCAAGCCCCTCCTCCCCATACCTCACCAGTCCCTGAAAGCCTTTGAACTCCACTCGCCAGGCATGGGACGCATACAGTCGACTCTCACACCGCGGCAAGTCCATGGAAGTGTGAGGCGCTGGCACTATGCCCGAACAGCTCAGGTCGAATTTCTCGAGCACGTGGGCCGCCAGTACATCAATAACTACATGCCCATCCTCCAGAAAGCGGCGTACCTCTTTGTAACGCACTCAACGTGGGGCGGCTGGCACCACGTCGAAGTGCATCACTCCTCCTGGTGGCGGCAAAAGTTCGAGGCGCACGGCTTCGTGTACCAGTCCGAGCTTACCCGCACGGCGCGGGCGATCGCCTCGAGCTCGACGGATGCCAAACCGCAGCTGCCCAGCGGCAAACCCTACCGGGCGCAGCACCTAACGCTGCACCTTCTCGTGTTTGTCAACCCACGCGTCGCGTCGTTGCAAGCGCACGCACACCTTCTCGGTGGCTTCCCCGACCTCGGCTGCATCTCCCGCAAGGACAGGTTCGGAGCCTCCACCCTCCCGTGCTCTGGAGCCGACGAGCTGCCGCCCGAGTTCAGGCCGCTGCAGCTCACAACCGAGCAGGACGCGCAGTGGATCCGGCTATTGGAGCGTGTGGATGTGCGCGGCCAGTCCGTGGCAAGTCAACCCGACGGTGACCCGACCCGGTAGCCCGCGGACGGTGACCCGACGCGGGCCCTCTCTAGGTCTCTAGGGCGAGGGATCTCTATACAGTCCTTTGCGGGCATTAAGAAAACAGGAATCCTAGGGGCTAGTACAGTTTCTTAGCCGACCTCTTTAAATCCCCTAGCACAGTTTCTTAATGTGACAGTTTCTTGTACTGGGCTGGGTTTTTTTAGGCACCATTGTGGGGTTGGCACTCCCATCGACCCTCATGACCTCCTGCGGTCTCTGAGATGGACACCAGTGGGTGTGGGACCACAGCCAGGATACAACCGAAGGCTGGGTAAGCAGTAGAGGTCGATACTCGACGCGTCCCACATGGTCTGTGTCGCTGTCGGCACGCTGTCGACAGGAGGACGTCGAGCGACACCGGTGGCAGTGCCACCCAGGAGTGGTCGGGCGGTCTCCCGTCATGAGAGAGCCACCATGTGATCCGTATGATGATTCCTGACAACCGCCTCAGTCAACCTTCGTCACAGTTCCCGCTCTGAGAGGAGCTGCGGGTCAGCTCGACAGCTGGAGCTGTGTCGCCGGCATGCGGCGGCCTGCCTCCGGAGGTGCCTCTGAGGTGGACATTTTTTGGTCACTGTGAGAGAACGCGTTCGAATTTTCACTCCGGAACTTCAACTCTGCACGCGCACCGGCCAGGGCTACAATAGTGCCAGTGAGGCGAAGGCGCGCGAGTCGGAAGGCCGCAACCGTGATTTGGTCCCGACATATTCCTACCCGGTACCTAGGTACAATCTTGCTGTGAAGTATTTTCTTCTCAATAACAAGGCTGTGAACCTCAACCTCTCACAGACCAGCGCACAGCGCCATAGGACGTATTTTCTTCTCATAACAAGGCTGTGAACCCAGCCACGTATGATGTATCAGGCCCCCGCAAAAGGAGACTGTGCGTAACGAGCAGGCGCTTAGGCGCTAGCCGCTACAAGGGAGGAAAAGCCCACGATTGAGGCTTGAGCGGCTCCGACAGTGCGTAGTCGGTGTGCTCTAGCGTAGCATGCGTGACGTCGACTTCGACACGAAGCCTCGGCAGCCGGGGCAAGCCGTGTTGATCGGCTCCATCCCGCAGCTCGTCTCGACCTCGCTGTCGTCGTTGAGCCAAGTGTGCAGGCAGTGGTAGTGGAAGAGGCTCTTGCAGCAGCGCGTGGCGCCCCAGCCCTTAGGGTCGCGAGGCTGCAGGCGCGCCTCGGGGTGTGCGCTGAGGTCGTCCAAGCAAATAACGCACTCGAGGGCCTCCTCCTCTGCTGCTGTAGCTGCGGACACGCCCGCAACTGCGGCAGCCGCCTCCACCTCCATCTCCGACGACTCCTCACTGTCGCTCTCCTGCTCCGCCTCCACCTCCACCTCGTCGTCCCATGGCGGGGCAGCACCCTCCGCCGCTGCAGCCTCCGCCGCCGCCGCCTGCTCTGCTGCGCGCGCCCGCCGCCTCGCCGCCCGCTGCTCGCTCGCGGAAGGCGGCGGGTCGGAGAGCAGCGAGAGAGCCACGGCATCGGCAATGTCCGCCGGGTCGAAGCCGTCCTCCTCCTCGACGCTGCTGGCCTCTGACGGCCCTGCTGCGCCTTGCGGCGGTGCTCGCTGCGGTTGCGGCTCGAGCAGTCGGATGGTCGCGTCCCACAGGTGCCGCGCACGCGCCAGCGCCGCCTCCTCGGCGGTGGCGAAGCAGCCGAGGGTGACTAGTTTGCCGCCAACCCTCACCTGCAGCTGGTACTTCTTGCGGCCTTTCTGCTTCGGGCAGTAGCACACTCCCCTGTAGCCGCTGTTGCCACAACTGGTGACTAGAGCGAGGCCCTGCCTCTTCGCCTGCCGGACTGCCTCGGCGCCAGCAGCAGAGGAAGGCTCAGGTGGCGGCGGCGGTGGCGAACCAGCCGACGGCTGGGATCAACACGAGGCGCTCGGACGCTGTGGCCCGCGACGAATTCGCGCGAGCGGGCGCCATATCAAGCTGGGCAAAAGATTTTTTACGCCGTTCGCACAAAAAGAAATCTGCGCGCGCATGGTCCGCCCCCTCATCCCTAGTTCCTCCCATCCCTCCCTTGGGTTGTCTGTTTTCTTTCTTTCTTTCTTTCATCCCTAGTGGCCGTCCGTTTTCTTCCTTTCTTCAGACGATGCTCGCACACGCACGATTCACAGAAGGTTGATCCGAAAAACTCAATTTCGCGACAGCGATCAGAATAAGCGTCAGGATGCCGCGCTTGGACTGCGCCTCGTCTCCAACGTACGAGTCCTTCTGCCCCATCCCGACCATCACGCCCGGCTGACGCGGCCGGCCAATGATGGAGGGGAAGACGGCGCGCGGGGCGTCGTCGCCGGCAAAACCAGCCTTGCACATGCCCGACCGAGCCGTTGTCCACAACAAGCGCCGCGACCTCGTCGTCCGCCATATCTGGTCTGTCTGGGGGGGTAGGTTGAGATAGTGGCGGCTTCTCGCGATGTCGGGTTGGCCGCCGATAGTTTGCGGGCACTTTGGATTTCCCTTCCTTGGACTTGACACGTACCCTAGTGAAGAAAAGTAAGAAAGAAAACAGAGACCCCAAGGGAATGCGCGCGCGCGGTTCACGCACTTCTTCCACACGAATCTCTGGGCCGCCGCATCCCGCCGCCTGCTGCCATGGAGCAGCCGGCCAGGCCGCTGGGCGCCAGCTGCTGCTCCAACGTCGGCTGGCTGGTCAGGAGCGTTGCCTGGTGCCCCTTTGAGGAGGGCTCGCACCTGCTGGCGGCTGCCGGCGACACGGCCGCGCTCCTCGAGCTGAGGGATGCAGCTGATGGGCGCGCCACGCTTGCCCCCGCCGAAGGGATGGCCATTCCAATCGACGGCGACGTGGACGCCATCGCATGGGGCCGTGTGCACGGCCAGATTTGCCTCACGGCCATCGCGGGCGGGTCTGTGTCGCAGCACCTGTGCGCTGCGCAAGGCCACAGCCTCTCCTCTGGCGTGCTTCAGCTCTCGAGCCCGGTGGTCAACGCGCCTGTGTACAGCGCCTGTCACCTTGCCCGTGAGATGCTCGCCCTCACCGGCGCCTCACGCCAGTGCAGCCTCCTGGCGCTCGGCGAAGGCGCAGCCAACCTCTCCCGCACCATAGCCCTGCACTCGGAGGGTGTCGCGGTCCGGGCGCACCACGCGCAGCCGGACCATCTCATGGTGGCGGAGGCGTGCGGAGGCGTCCATTTCCTCGACCTGCGCGAGCCCGAAGGGCCGCACCCCACGCTCTCGCGCACGCTTCCGCCGGCGGCGGCTGCGGCGGGCCTGCGCGACGCCGACTGGTGCCCCGGCGACTCGCACTTGGTGAGCGGGCTCAAATGGTCGCCTCGCCCACTCCCCACGTCACCGCCTCGCCCTCCCCGCTAGGTCTGCGCTGTGGCGGGCGACGCCTGGTACGGCTGGGACTTGCGCGGCACCGGCCGCGCTGCGACGGCGCACGTTGGGGGTGGAGGCGGCGAGACGCGCGGCGCTCACGCGCTGCGGTGGGCGCCGCACGGCACGTCGTTCGCCGTCGCGGGCCGCTCGTCGGCCGTGTCGGTCCACGAGCTGCGCACGGCCGCCTCGTCGCGAGAGGAGCGAGGCCTCTGGAGCGACTCGTCGACTTTCCTGACGCACGGGCTGCCGACGCGCGTGCCGAGCGTCTCGTGGAAGCAAGGCGCGACCGCCGCCCGAGTGCTCGCCGGCTGCGGCGACACGAAGATTTGCGTCTGGTCGCTCTAGCCCGGCGGAACACCCGGACACTCCACAAGCATTGCGACTACACGCGGCCCCAGCGCGCGGCACAACACGTCGCCCAGTGGCCCAGGCGCAGACCGCAGCGCGCGCAGGCTTCTAGTAAGACACTAGAGAAAGAGATACGTGTATACGCATTTACGGGAATATGGCGAAATGCACTTGCAACTTCACTTGCAGACCAGGAGGGGGCGCTTTTCTTTCGCTCTCAAGTGTTCAAGAGTCGGGTTGTGCTCAGTCCGGAAAAGCTCAGGCTTAAACATTAACACATCAAGCGCGGTGTAGGCGCGCCCGCGCGGCGCAGCGGCTCTCCCGCGACCATAGCCCCTCCCGCAGCCGCAGCCGTAGGCGTAGCCGCAGCCCCAACTCTTGCTGCTCTTCTATCTAGTGACTAGTGTCGGGGTTGTGACCAGGGGTGAGGGGACGGATTGAAGATCCCTCACACCAAGATCGTGCAGGGCGGGGACACATGTCCCTAAATCCCATCTCGTCTCAGAGTTTGACCGTTTTTATTTATTCAACGAGCTGGAGAGGGGGAGGACGGCCGCGCGAAAACTTCAATCAAACTGTCATGGTCGCGACGAGCAGTCGCACTGCTGTTCCGAGACCGCCCTCGCTGCCCGTGCCACACGTCACTCCGCGCCGCTTCCTCGTCACTGGTGCTGGCCGCTCAGGCACGCATGCAGTCTTCCACATGCTGCGAGCGCGTGGCATCAACGTGCGGCACGAGGCGGTGGGCGGCGAAGGCACCGTCTCTTGGGCGCATGCTGTATTCCTCCACCCAGAGCATCGCGGGCGTATGATCGCGCAGAGGATCATGTGGCCAGGAGAGAACTCAACTTTCAAGCCCTGGCTGTACGCTGGCAACCAGACCGCCTTCAACCCTGTCGTTCAGATGGTGCGGCACCCACTTGCCGTCTTGAACTCGCTGCTAGTTTGCTTTTGCAATCTTCCGCAAAACCTCAAGAGCGAGGATCCCAAAGTGGTGAGATTCGAGCATCACAAAACAAGGACGTCGTGGAGCTGGGTTTCGCGATTCATTTCGCTGCCGCCGCCAGGCAAGCCCATTTCAAGGGCTATGGCGTACTGGACGCGTTGGAATGCATTAATTGAGCCGTTCGCGCTCGCACGCGTTCGTGTCGAGGACCTGAATGAGAACGCGCTCTTAGCTACTCTCCAACGCAGAGGGGCGGCGAGCCCGAGATGGAGAGGTTTAAACCAAACGAGCGTGGGCGACAAGAGGTACGTCGTGGGTTGGCAAAATGTTTGCGCAGAGGATGTCGAGATTGCCGAGAACGCGCTCCGGCTGGCGGCTAGGTATGGCTACCTCGACAATATGCCAGCCTCGCCAACGTGTGCATCAGTCAACGCTGCGTCCAGGCCCCCACAGCGACTGGTGGCAACCAAAAACTTCCTCAACGGTACCGCCTCGCCGAGGAACTCCGAAGGCGGAAGGAACAGGAGGCCGAGCTCAAATCGCACGCGGCCGAATGCAAACCCGGCGACAAGCTCGGGTGGTCAGCTTGACAAAAGCAGAGCACGCACGCAAGGCACCTCATCAGTACCAGCACCACGTGTCGCGTTCGGGGTAGCACCACGCGTCGCCGTGTTGGTTCACAGCACAACCCATCGCTCATCTGCGAAAGCGCCTCCAGGCGCCACTGCCGCTAGGTCGGAGGTTCGACTCAGCGCTTGCATCCGGAGCAGCAAACCCAAGCTGTGTCAGTGGAGGCTACGGACGGCGGCCCTGCGCCTGCGGCCGGGACCAGCCTCTCAATAGCGGGTGGCGTCGATCGCGCCGGGCGGGCTCGGGGCCCTCTCGACACGGCTCTCACGCGTCATGTGCACAACCCCTTGGAGTGTGAAGGCTTCGTAGCCCTCCGGTCTATGAAGACCCGGAGGGCGGAGGGCTGGAGCCAAAACAAGCAAGCGAGTGCATGTGCACACACACGCCACACCCCACCCACACGGGACAGACACTCAGCCTCTGCGCTCTGCCCACACACCTCTGCACTGCGGGCCACTGGCCTGTGGCCCGCAGGGTCTGACTAGACTGCCAGACTCGACAGTGATTACGCTCTCCCCCACGTCCCAGTACCCAGCCGGAGACCGTATGTGCCGACGGCCGTTTCCCGTTTTACAATTTTGATTTTAAGGTTCTTCGGGCCCCTTTAGGGGGGCAAACCCTGCCCGGCCCCTAGAACCCCAGGTAAGGCCCAGGTATGGCCTAGGGCATCAGAAGGGACCAAGAGGAGTCCAGTCTGAGCCATAGAGCCCATGTCTTTGCCCCCGAAGGTCGCGTTCAAATGCCCGGAACGGCCGTCTCAGTGGTGTCCGGCCGGCGCGATCACCGAGCTGTGACGCTCAGGGAAGCCTGATGAGGTACTGGTTTCTTTGCCCAGGGCTGGCCTACGGCCCGTGCTGGATCAGCTGAGCAAGGTTTGGGGAGAATCCTATAGACAGATCTTCAGATATTTTGACGGATGACCAAAATCACCCCGTTTTTGCCCATTTTGCGGTC